GAAGGCCACTAGAATCAGAGCCGACTCGATGGCAACAACAACAAAGAAAAACCAAGCAAAATAAGAATGAGGTTATCATTAACCATAACAAAAACCCAGATGAGATATGTGATCATTTTCTTTCCATCACAGTGCACTACCTGGCTGATGAGAGAAAGAGGTCTGTGAAGTCATAATTCTATAAATAATGGTTTGTGCCACAGTGAACACTGAGATCCTAATGGGGCTGTGGAATGAGGCTGGAGGAGGGGCGCTACGTGAGAAGCCTGAATGTTCTCTCACAGCAGGAACAATGTTCAGAGTTAATATATCAGGAAATAGAAGTATGAGCACATTTAGAAAGAAGAACGAAAAGTTTAAAAAAAAACCCACAAGAAAATAGTAACTCAGAGATTGAAAGGGCCAGAAATGAGACTGAGTCGGTGTGTTTCATGACGTGAATTGTGTCCCCTAAAAAGACATGTATATTATGACATAATGTGGAAGCTACGCAATGATCCCCCAAGATCTGATAAACCAAATAGCTGTAAAAGGATTGGAGATAAATGCAACAACTCTTAATTCTATCACAGCCTGATATACAGAAGGGAAGGTTCACTAGGGTGAGGCCTCTAACGGCTTAGCTGTAAAGAGCTGCACTATCAACACGAAGGTACACAGTTCGAGCCCACTAGCTACTTGCAGGAAAAGAATAAGTAATCTCCTCCCGTGGATTTATTGCCTCTGAAAATCCACTGGAGGATCAGCTATGGGTCAGTTCTGATCAGAAGTACCCAACAACGACAGAGATAAAAGGGGGAAAGGGAGCAGAGACCAGGGACCGCAGCTGCACCAAGAAAGACCCTCCAGGAGAGGTGTGCATTGTTTTAGACTCAGGTTCCTGCACAAGGAAGCTCTTCGACAGCAAAGAAGGCTAAGACTCATGAAAATCTGCCAAGATTCCAGGCCTACAGACAGTGACGGTAACAGGGCTCTTCCTCCAGAACCAGGAGAGAAAAAGAACCTTCCCTTAGAACTGACACCCTAAACCTGAACTTTCAGACCACAATCAACGTCCACAGGATCTGCTTCAAGTACCTCTCCAAAATGACAAAAAGCAACAATGACAATTTAAGATTAATGTGTGCCTGATCCAAGCCATGGTGCTTTCGACGGCTTCTGGTACATATGAAAGAGGAACGATGAATATAAGAAGAATCTATGCCTTTGAACTGAGGTACTGGAGAGTAGTATTAAATATCCAATGGACTGCCAAAAGAACAAAGCGGTCTGGCTTGGAGGAAGAACCACAGGGGGGAGCTGTTAGAGGCCGACCGTGAAACTCCACCTCACATACTCTGGGTGTGCTGTCTGTCAGGAGGGGTCAGTCCTTGGACAGGGACATCATGCTGGGAAGGGTGGATGGTTAGAGGATGAGCAGGAGACTCCCGTCAAGATGGACTGACGTGGCGGCTGGACCAATGGGCTTGAGCGTAGACTGTTAGGATGGTTAGGACAGGGCAAGGTTCTGAATTGTTGTTTCGCTGTTGTTGTTGTTGTTTACTTAATTAACTTTATTTCTGTTACACAAAACCCACTATGTGATGGCCACAGCTGGAACTTGAGTCCTCTGCACAGAGACCCTGGTGTGAGTCTTTACAAGATGGTCAGGAGACTTGGTGAACACAGTCTCTTTCCAGAAGTCTGTGGTCAAGTAGCTGTAGGTCTTGGAGATGGCATCAAAGGTGGCCTTGGTGAAGTTGCCCAGGGTGGCTGTGCGGCCCCTGGCTGCGGTGTATCAGCCGTCAATTCTAGCCATCAGCAGCAGCTTCTTGGGCACAGGGGCCAAGACGATTCCAGAGCCTCGGGGAGCAGAGATCAGACGTACCAACACACAGCCACAGCACCTAGTCACCTTGCAGGCGTACTGCAGGTGTAAGGCTTACCAATCTTGTTCCCACAGCAGCCACTCCACATAGGGACAGTGGAGAGCTTAGCCAGGGGAATGGCCCCACGGAAGGCAGCAATTACCTCCTTAGAGTGCTTGACGCCCAAGCCGGCATGGCCATTACAGTCTCCAATAGCAACGGATGCCTTGAATCTGGTCTGCTGGCTGGCACGTGTCTGCTTCTGCACAGGCATGATTGTCAAGATCTCATCCTTGAGGGACATCCTCAGGAAGAAGTCAATGATCTCGCACTCCTTGATGGACAGTGAGAAGAGAGAGATCTCCTTCAAGGATCTGATCTTCATATCTTTGACCAGACAGCCCAGCTTGGTGACAGGGAGCCACTCCTTGTTCTCAGCTTTGCCTCCTTGAGCTCTGTGGCTTGGCCCCTCACATGGCCCCATCAATGGCTGCAGCCCCAGCCCTGGCCCTGACCCTGCAGACCACTGCCGAAGCTCTATGGAAACCACTGCCGAAGCTCTATGGAAACCACTGCAGGCTCCCATCCCAGGACCCCGAGGGCCTCCAGGCTCTCGCGCTGCACCGGCATCATCCGCCATTTGGTACTTTCTCAGAGAAGAAGTGATCCATTGTTCTTAAAGTTTTCATGAGTTACAGTCGATTCAAGGGCACATAACAAAAGCAAGATTGTCTTAAAGTATAACAGAATAAATTTCTGTTTTTTAAAGCCATCTGTTTGCAACAGGCAAGACAGTAAAAGAAAACTTAAATTGTTAATATTTTAAAAGGGAGAAATGTCCTGTTAACCAAGAAGGACAAGTGAGGGGGACTTCTTTATCAGGCTGCAGGCCTGTATCCTCTTAGCCTTTCTTGAGAGAGTAGAAACCAACTTGCTATAAAGTGGGAACCAACTCATATCTGACCTGCCAGAGGCTCTACATCACACGGCGCTACAAAGCTCATCTTTCAACCAAGGAGCAACGAGTGGATTCAAACCACCTGTCTTTGGGTTGGCAGGACAGCTCCTTACCCACCAGGTCACCAAAACTCTCCTTAGCTTAGAGAGCAAACTTTGAAAATAAGGTCAGAGACTGCAGTCTTCAGTATGGATTGAGGCTCAGTATCAAGAAAACAAAGATTCTCACCACTGGGACAATTGGCAGCATCATAATGGAGGGTGAAGAGTTTGAGATTGTTCAGTTTTGGTTTGCTTGGCTCCACAGTCAACACTCTTGGCACCAGCAGCCAGGAAATATTGTGATGGGAAAGCCTGTGGTTAGAGACCTCTCCAAAGTACTGGGTGCGCCTGATACAGACCACGGTCTTTGCAATCACTTGCTATGCATCAGAGAGTTGGACAATGACTAGAGATGACAGAAGGAGAATTGTTGTCTTTCAGCTGTGGTGTTAGAGAAGAGTACTGAATGTACCATGCATTACTAGGAGAAAAACAAGTTCATCCTGGAGAGGGTGAAGCCAGGCTGCTCCTTGGAGGCAAGGATTCTGAGGCTTCGTCTGACATACTTTAGACATGCTGCAAGGAGGGACCAGTCCTTGGAGAAGGACATCATGCTTGGGAGGGTAGAGGGACAGCACAGGAGGGGAAGACCCTCTATGAGCTGGATTGATTCAGTGACTGGGGTAATCGGGATGGGTGTGTCAGATATAGTGAGATTGGTACAGGATAGGGCAGAGTTTAGAGCTGTTGTACATAGGGTCGCTATGAGTCGCAGGCGACTCGAAGGCACATAACAACAACAACAATCAGGTTTAAGATTTATAGTCTTCCAAAAACCCACTGCGGGGGTCAGGGATGAACAGGTTGACTTGATGACAATAAGTTGTCATCATCATCATCAGGAGACAGTGGGTAGAGGGCTGTCATTGCTCATGTCACTATTGCAGCACTAGTTTATTTTAATTGTGTGGTATTTTGTTTTGCTAAATAAATATTAATTACAACAGAATTTATGAGAGAGGAAATCTAAGCTATGATATGCGTATTTGTTTTCTAAGGCATAAGATTAAAAAAAAAACAAAACCACAAACTCACAAACCCTTTAACTCACGGCCATCAAGTCAGACTGATTCAGAGGTGACCCTCCCGCAGGATTACAGAGGCTGTAAATCACTTGGGAGGAGACGGTCCATCTCTGAGGAGCAGGTGGTTTCAAACCTGCCTCAGGGTTGGCAGTGCAAGTCCTGCCTGACCCACTAGGACACCAGAGCTTCCAACAGGTACAAAATGTGGTGGTGGCGGTGTTAGGTACCATCGAGCAGTCCTAGGAACAACAGAGGCGCACCCTGTCCTGCCCTGTGCCATCCTAGGGACCTAAACAGAAATCATGCTCCTGACCTGCTACCCAAATCTGAAAAATCTAAAAAGGCAAAATACTTCATTTTAAAAACCAGAAAGACTTATGACTAAGAGAAATACTTGTATTTGTTTACAATAAACAGAAAGGGAAAGTCTTGATACCCACACCATGGGGGTTTCACAGTAAGAACCAGCTGCCTCAACCAGCACACCTCCCCCAAACCTCCTCACGGGACCCTCACTCAGGTGCCAGCCGTCACCTCCAGAAAGCCTGTCCTCCTCCCCGACAGGGGAGGTGCCCTCCTGAGGGCATTTCCATAACCACCTTTATCACTGTGAACTGCAGCCACTGGTTTACTTGTCCGGCTTCTCACCTACAGCCCAAGACCCTGGGGGTGGGTATGGTGTCAATCTGTCCTTGTAATCTAAACCACAGCAGCTAGGAGGGCAGGCAGGAAACCGAAAATGCCAAACCCACTCCCGCCCAGCCCATTCTGACTCACAGTGGGCCCCCCCCCCCGCCATGGTTCCAAGGCTGTAAGTCTTTAGGAAAAAGACTGCCTCATCTTTCTTGCAAAGAACAGCTGGTGGATTTGAACAACTAGCCTTTCAGTTAGAAGTCCAACACGTAACTTACTAAGCCAGCATGGCAGTGGGCCTCCATAAATGTTCTTAAATGAATGAGTGTGAGAATAAAAAGCTCACACATCCTGGCCCTCCTCATCACTAAACTCCGGTAGCCCCCAAAACCCGAGGCCATTTGTCTCTGAGTAAATCCAATTTGTCCCCTCTTACCTGTAGACAGTTCCCAGCTGGATGTAATGAAAAGCATCAATCTTCATCAGGATTGCCTTTAAAACAAAATGCACGTGAACAATGCACAACCATCTGCACATTTAATGAGAACAATTTCAGATATCATTTTAATCCCATCAACATTAGGCTGCCCTGACAAGGAAATACTCTGGATGTTTCTGAAAGGTTTGCTTGTTAATTAACGTTCTGGACAACTCATTCAGGAAACAGCCTCCCTGGAAAACAAACCAAAACAAAACAAGCCATGGCATCTGTCGACTCCACCAAACGTCAAAAATTACTTTTGGGAATTACCTAGGGGAATTCAAGGCCTCCTAGTTCATCATGTCTTCAAAGAACTTTACCCACAGGTGTTTGAATAACTCAGTTCTGTGGTCCCAGGAAAGAATTTAAAATCTATTTTCATGTTCAAGAAGAACAAGTCATATTTTAGTCTCAAATTCTGTGAAACTACAAAGTAGCTTGAGAACTCAACATACCCGCTGTACATCATAGTGAAGTCCACGAATTGCAAAATTTGGGTCATATTCATACTTCCGGATTTCCGCAGGATACTAAGAAAAAAGAAAGAACAGGATCTCAGTTCATAATATACTAAGTACAAGGAACCCTGGGGGTGCAATGGATCAGCATTGGTTTGAATCCACAAGCCACTCCACAGAAGTAGAATGAAGCTTTACAGTCTAAGAAACCCAATCTCCTCGCTCCTACAGAGCCTCTAGGAGTCAAAAGCACCTTGGTTAACAGTGGGGTTGGCCTTTTTTAAGTATTAGGATCAAGATCACGTCCAAACCAAACCTTTGTATGAAGAATAAGGCAGTTGTGTAAGCAAGTGCCCAGACAACTATCAAAACTCAAGGAAACCACCCTTCACGGAGCACTGCTGATTCTGCAAGGCCAGGGTCATGCTGTGAGAACATTTCCTGGTACCACCAGCTCAACTCAGTGGAGTCAGACTCCACTGTCATATCTGGACTCATTTACCTGCCCAAGTGCCAAAAAATCAATAAGCTGACCTTCCCATCCACTGGCCTCTCCGAGAATTCTGAACGCGGTGCACATTTCTTCATGTCTGACATGTTTGACATGTTTGACACAGTCCACAAACAACCCAGCACACAGTAACACAGCTCTGTTACCGAAAAGAAGCCAAAGGCCAGGAACAATCTGGAATCTCCTTTTAAACTCGAGCGTGAGAGATATAAGGTAGGAAAGGAGAGTTCTAGTTAAAAGATATCACAGGCTGCTTTGCTGAACTTTTATTATGTACCACACACTCTGTTAAACACAATAACTATCTTATTCACTCCGCACTAATCCCAAAATGAAAATACTGAAGTTCTCAAGGATTGCATTTTAATTGGATCCACAATCAATGCCTGGGAAAGCAGCACTCAAGAGATTGAACAAATGCTGAGCAAAAAAAGGCATTTACATTCATTTTCTTCTGTGATGATAAAATCATTTTAAAAATAAATCCCTAAGGAAGGAAGGAAGGAAGGAAGGAAGAAGGAAATCGAACAACTGAGCTGTTTCCATGTTCTTGCAATGGTGAGTAACCCAAATAACTCAAATCTCCATTTGAGTCATACTGTATGGGCCCTGGATGTGCTCACCAAGTTGTGCCAAGAAATCTGGAGAACAACCACTTGGCCAACTGACTGGAAGAGATCTATATTTGTTCCCATTCCAAAGAA